TTTTTTTTTTGTTTTATTTATCTGTTTGTTCGTTTACTGAATACAAGCAAATGAAAGAGAGAAAAAACCAAAACAAGAAACAATAGTTGTAATAGTGAACGGAAGCGTGAATACGGAGATGGGAACGTGAATCAACATCACCAGTAAATAACGCTCGAGGAGAAGAAAAGGAAGAAAAGAGGTACAAATAGTTAGAAATAAGGGAGAAGGAAAGGAAAAGAGGTTGTTAAAATACTTTTTTTTTGTATTTCTAGCATGTGCGTACCATGCGCACCTGATTTTTGAAGTATCGGTTTGGTATATGTATATGTAAGCCTCTCTGCTACTCTTCATTCTTTTTGGTGAATGACGAGGATAACTTCGGGAAAAAAGAAAAAAGAGAAAATAACAACAAATGAAGGGGTGGGAAACCAATAAATATTCAAAGCACCAGAAGTGACAGTATTATGTGAAATAGATGGAGTGCAATGAAATTTTTACCCACCCCCTCACTCCTCCTCCCCTCACAGAAAAAAAAAAAAGAAAAAAAAATTATATATATGTATATATATATATCTGTACTATTGGTCATATTTGTGACACCTAGAGAGAAAAAAAAAAAAAAAAAAAATGCCACGGAATGCAGTATGAACGAAAATATGAATTGCAAACTTTTGGCGCCTGAATAATAATGATAATAAAAAAAAAAAAAAAGGTATGAAATGGGGTGATTTTTGTGAAGCGAGAATTTTAACGAACACTAGAAAAAAGAAAAAAAAAGGAGAAATAGAGGATATCACCAAGATGTCATTGTTTGTTTTTGGACGTTAGGGGAACGTGATACGTCAATTTTTCTTTTTTTTTTCCCCTTTCCTATGTTCTTTTTTTTTTCGCCTTTCCACGTTTTTTTTTTTTTTATTTAATTTATTTATTTCATTGGTTATTTTGTTTTTTATTTTTGTACTATGCAGGGGGGTGGCCGCAGAGTGTGCTGCGAGTTTGAAGCCTTCCTGCATCTCATTTTAGAGAGAAAAGGTTGTACCATGAAAAGATGCAGAGGAAAAAGGAGCAGAGATAGAAATAATATTGATTCTGGCAGGATTAATCACATTGGTGAGGAAGAATTGTTTTTTTTGTTTTTTTTTTTAGTTTGTTAAAATTTTTTTTCCGCTTTTTTATTTTTTTTTTTGTTTTCTTCTGCTTTTCCCTCATTGTTGGATTGTGTGTGTGTGTGTATATATATACAATGTGCTGGTGCTTTGCTTTAACCACTTTTTTTTTTAGTTTGTTTTTCCTTTAAGAATGAAGGAAATGCTGTGTTAACAGCTGGATTCGGTTTGCGCAATTTTTATTAGTATTTTTTATTTCCAGTCCTGTTTACATTCATAGTGGAGTTAATGGAAGGTGATGAAGATGAAGGGTCAAAGAGAGAACACAAAAAATAATAATAATAATAATAACAATAATAGTAAAAAAAAAAAAAAAATCACATTGTATTATTTTTTGTTTTCCTTCTTGTAGTCTCTCTCTACCATTTTATTTCTCTTGTTCCTTCTTCTTTAGATCAATCTGATAAAAAAAGTGAGAGCTGCCTGTGATGCAGCATAGCAACTTCTTGAACGATGTTAGCATCTTTTCTTTTTTCTTTTTGTATTCATTGTCCCAGTATCATTCGAAATCATTTTTTCTTCTCATTTCCCCTCCCTCTCTCACTTCCATGTTGATAGGTATTGTTTTAGCAATACCTAACTCTATTGGGGTTGTTTTTATTATTATTATTATTTTTTTTTCTTGCTTTCTTGATTCTTTCCTTCTCTTCACTTTTTTTTTTCTTTTCCTATCAATGTAAAGAAGATGACGGAAGACACGGAAAGAGACCCTTTCCAAGCCTTCTTCGAGTCATCAGAAGAGAGCGTGAGTGCATTTCTTCGCACCTTTACGGAGCTCTCAGCGGTAGAACGGGCGTTATTGACTCTTGGAGACCCGCTAAAGTTAAAGGAAGAAACATGTATAGATGAGAATGTGAACAATTTATCTTCTGCGACGATGCAGACATTAGCAGAAGCGGAGTACTTTGCGGCGGCGATTGAGGCCTTTCGTGTAGAGGGACAAGAACTGAAGAGCAATAGTAATAATAAGAGTAAAAATGATGATAGTGATTCTGTATTACCGCTACTGTTAAATAATAGTAAATCTTTTCCATTGAATGATGTAGAATTGGAAGAGGAGATACTAGTAGATGAATCTGTGGCTCTCAAGACATCTACAATGACGGCATTTCTTAATTATGGTTGTACGGATATTGTACCAACCTTTGACAACTTTATTGAAGGAGATGAAATACAAATGGAGGAAGAGAGAGACATTGAAGGAAAAATGGAGGAAAACAAAAAGAAGAGGATGTTTCAGTCCAAAGAAATGAGTCTATATAATAAAGACTTACAAACCGAAGATATTAACAAAGAAAAAACTTCTTCCACTTTAGATGGAGCTGTAACTTCTCCTACAGATGCTATTATTGGTAGTAGTGGTGTTTCTCATTCTCTTGAAGAGAACACAGTAAATGATACTGAGCAGCATGATAACTGTGATGATAGTGATGATGGGTCTGGGGATTGTGTAAGTGATAGTGAACTTGAACTTCCTGGACTAACGACCAATACTTCACTGCAGAAAAATAACGGACTGATGGAAAGATGTAATATTTTTCTTTCAACAAAAGACCTTGATGTGTTAAGAGAAGTAGTGGATGATGAGGTTCGGCCATTCGAGCTAGACCCCTACTTTGACTACGATGCAGATTTGATTGGCGCAGCTGCTCGACAAAACGACACTCACTGGCGGGTATGATATAATTTATATTTACGTTCATTTCATCTCATTTGTATCATCGAATATGAGTTTTTTTTTTTTTTTT